AGAGTCATTAACCCTTTGTCTATAATATAATTTAAAAATGCTTGCTCATTTAGTTATGCATTTATTTAATCCTTCTTTTTTTGGGAGGGGCAATGAAAGGTTTTTGTTTTTTTTATGTAGAAATTATAGAAAACTTGTCCAATGCTTTCTAGGCTCTCAGAGCTGACTTACTTACTTCAAATACATTTTATTTGTGGGTCAGCGAGATGACTCCACTTAAGCCCAAACTGGATGAACTGAGTTTGAGATTGAAGGAAAGGGCCGACTCCTGAAAGTCCTCTAGTTCTGCAGGAACATCGGAACAAGTGCATGACAAACAGTCTCGGGGAGTGAGGTCTTAGTGCATTTTCAAATGAAGCATGAGACTGGGTACTCTACACAGTTGTGTGATGTGGGTTATTTTGCACTTGTGTGTGTGTGTGTGTGTGTGTGTGTGTGTGTGTGTGTGTGTGTGTGCATGTGCGTGCGTGCACATGGAAGCTGGAATTTGATGCTTGAGGCAGGACTCAGATGCTTCTCAGCTGGACTCAGAGCGTGTGGACTTGGCTAGGCCAGCTAGCCAGCTCGTCCTAGGGATTCCCTGTCTTCTCCTCCGGGGTGCTGGCATCACAGGCAGGCTGCCACACCCGCCTGGTGTGCACTTGGTTGCTGTGCATCCGAACTCACATCTTCACACCTGCCTGGCCAGTGAGTGCTCAATGCACTGAAACAGCTCCTAGCACTAGTATTGAAAAGTGTTCTCACTGCCCAGAGTTGTGTAAATGTCCTACCCTCAAAGTCCACACCTCTCAGCCTTTGTTTATTTGTTTACCTTCCTGAGCTGTGGCAATAAGGACTGTGGTCATTTTCCCTGTGTCTACTCCTTATCCCAGGATCACATCCCTTTTAAAAGCAGCTTTGTTGACTCAAAATTGATGTATGGGAATCAGCAGGTACTTAAAAAAAAAAGCTTTATTTTTACTTCATGTGTCTAGGTGTTTTGCCTGCATATATGTGCACCATGTGTGTGTCTGGTGCCCACAGAAGCCAGAAGTGTGTAGGGGGTATGAGATCCCCTGGAACTGGAGTTACAAGGCTGTTGTGAATCACCATGTGGGTGCTGGGAACCCGAGTCCTCTGGAAGAGACCACAGTGCTCCTAACCACTGAATTCTACACATACTTAATGCATATACTTTGACAGGTCTCAGTGCATGTATACAGCAGCACTTGGTTCAGGAAGGTGAGCTTGTGGTCCCCACCTTGTCCTCTCACAGTTTACAGTGTCACCCAAGTTCACAAACCTGTGCCCCCACCAAGGGAGTGTCCCTTCTGTGCATCTAATTTAGATTAGCTGCCTTTTGTTTTCCTTTTTGGTCTCATGTAGCCTAGATTGACCTCAAATTTCACTATCTAGATGGGGATGACCTGGAGCTTCATGTGTGTGAGTGTGTATGTGCATTTATGCGTATGTGCATGCCTGTGTGGGAGTGCAAGTGCCAATGCTTGCATGCTCAGAGAGCAGAGGGAAAAGACATATGCCCTGCTCTCTCACTCTATATCTTATTCCCTTGGGACATGGTCTCTCACTGAACCTGGAGCTAGGCTGGCAGCCAGCATGCCCTGCAATTTTCCTAACCTCACTCCCAACAGCACTAGAATAATAGATGTATGTAGCTATGCCCAGCTTTTTATATGGGCGCAAGCATTCAAACTCAGCTCCTCAGACTTATACAGCAAGTGTTCTTACCTGCTTAGCCATCTCCCTGCCCTGTCCTTGAACCTATGATCCTCCTGCCTCTACCTCTTGAGTGCTGGTATCATAAGTGTGAATCACCACACCCAGTTTGTGTGGTGTTGGGGATCAAACTCAGGGCTTTCATGCATGTTAGACAGAGTCACGCTCCCTGGTGCCTTGTTGGCATTTTTCATTTTCTCTATACATAAAATAATGATATTTTTTCCAAATATCAAATTTTTCAAATACACTATAGGCTCATTCTTTTCAGGGTTGAGCAACAGTCCATGGTGTGGACATACCACCCTCTATTCCTCCATTCACCTGCTGTGGGTGATTAGGTTGGCTCTATTTTCTGCATTTCACAGATAGAGCTTTAACCTAGGTCTAGATCTCCAGAAATTCATAAAAGGTTTGTTCTTGAATGTTCCTGGCCGTTTAGAGTTTCCCATTTTAATTTAGATGAGTTAGAATGAATTGGAGCTATACACATGGTCTCTTACTTGCCTATTTCATGGGGATCATGGTAGAGACAGATGAGGGTCCGAGGATCAGAAGGAGAAAAGACAGAGGGACTCCCAGAGGGGTGGGGCTTCTGCCAAGGAGAAATCCATCAGGGTGTGAGAAGTAGGGGCCCAGTCAACATCTGACATTCAGCTCCCTCTTGACCCATCTTCAAGGACTCAGCCGACCCAGGATGCTCACAGGGGAGCTTTGTGGCTTGAGTAAGTTGCCTCGCTCTATCTTACACATCCAGGCCTCCAGGCCGGGGACACAGATGAGATCATCATGTCCCTGAGCGTGGCCTGCGTGGCCTGTTCTGGCCATCTGGGGGTTTCTCCTAGTTCTTGTGTCTCAGGTCTTTGCATGTTGAATCTAGCCATTTCTGACCTTTGGCTAGACAGCCCAGGGACTGGGGAGGCAGGAGCCTCAGCCCCACGGGACTCCTTGTGGTCCTTCCTCATGGAGTGGTCCAGATGCTGATGGGTCTAGCTAGCCATCAGAGAGGAGTGTGGGTCTCAGTCCGAGGCTTAAAGGAGTCATGGGTGGTTGTGAGAGCTTGTTTTCTGGAAGGCGCGGGAACAGAGAGGGCGTTTGTTATGGTCCCAGGTTGACATCAGGGGAATGGAAGCTACCTGTAGTTGTCTTTCTTTAGTTAAGTAAGAGTGACAGGCGGGGGGCTAGTGATGCTGTGGACATTCTCTGAAGTCTCCCTTACCCTTAAGGTTCCAGACCAGCTGGACAGAGAGGCTGCCCACCTTCCCAGGACCCCAAGCTTTCCTCACGCAAGTGGCCACTGCTCCAGCAGGCAGATGGGGCCTTGCCTCCCTGCTGGAAGGCTTTGTGGTTGTGTATGGGGTATCAGGACCCTTGGAACCCCGACCAGGGCCACATGCCTTGGATTCCAGGGTGCCTCAGGAGGGACACTGAGTAGTGTCCTATTTCTGGGGCCAAGGCGCACAAGCTGAGCTTGCTAGGGGAAAACACTCTGTAATTCAGAAAAGCCTACTTGACACAGAAGCCAGCTGGCTACAGTTGGAAAATAGAAACGGGAGGGCTTGGGAAACGGCAGGAGGACCTGAGTTTGCTCCCCACAAAACCCATGTGAAAAAGCCGGGCGGAGTAGCACATGCTTGCAACCCCAGTGCTGGAGATGGGGAGGCAGGGGGCTCACTGAGGCTTGCTGGACAAACAAGCAGTCTGTGAGCTCTGGTTCCAGCGGTGAGTCACCCAGTGTTGACCTCTGTCCCCCACGTGCATGTGTGCACATGTGCACATGTTCCTGCACATACATGTGCTTGTACACAAACACACGTAGAGAGTATCAGACAGTGTTCCGTACTGCCTTCACATGAGGCTTAGGATGGGGACAGTAAGTCTAAATAGGCCTGCTTTATGGCTTCAATTGCTGCCTTGGGCTCTGTAGGGCTAGTGTTGTGAGACCGTGAGGAGGACACCCTCCTGGACTGGAGACCAGATCTGGCTTCGGTCCCTTTAGTACTGGGAAGATTCAGGATTGGGCTCAGACCCAATCACCCCTACACCTACACCCCTTTTCCACAATGGGGGCTGAGATCTGCTGGAGGTCTGAGATCAGGGCTCTAGGAACACTTTGAATCGATCTTGGCTGACACCTCTGGCTCATGGGACTCTGTCTCTGTGTCTCTCTATCTAGATGTCCCTAAAACATCACAGGACTGAGGATGGCAGCTGTTGGTGGGGCAGGTGGATGGAGGAAAGAGGAGGTATGTCTCAAAACATTTGAGTAAGACTGAAGATCCCATCTTAGTCATGCTAGGCCTGAACCCAGGGAGCAGGGGCACAGGTTGAGGCTGTGGGAGGGACTTGACCTCCCATCTGTAAGTGGGATAAGTACCACACATGTGTGGTACTTACCTCTTGTATCTGAGGAGAGTGGGATGGGGGGATGGTGAAAGAGAAAGAGAGACAAGATAGGACACCTTAGTTATTTTCTCAAGCGAGGATGGCTCAGTTTAGACAGTGCAGAAGGACTTGGAGAGTTGACTTTTCTCACAACAAAAGGGTGTAAGACTCAATAGGGAAACTGAGGCAGGGATCTGTTGACTAAGATTCTCTTCCAATTGTTCAATTGAAAGGTTACCTGTTTAGTACTTATCTGGGCTAGGCAAGTCTGCTTATATCCATCCATCCATCCACCCACCCCACTATCCACATAACCACCTATCTATCCATCCATGTCTCCATAACCATCCAACTGTCCATTCATATAACCAACCACCTGCCTATCACCATTCATCAGTCCATTCACCCATACATTAATCTATTTGCTATTCACCCAACCATCCATCCATCCACCCACCCACCACCAGCTATCCATCTATCCATCCTCACCATCCATTCATTCACCCATTCATCCATCCATTCACTCTCCATATGTGTATTCACCCACCTACATCATCCATTCATGGACCCACTCACCTACCCATCATTTATCCACCCCTCTGTGCAAACAGCCATAAATCTATATATCCTTCACCCACTCACCCACCCACCAATCCTTGTGACCATCCATCTATCTGTAAACCCACTCACCTTTCCATCTAACTCGCCATCCGTCCACCAAACAGCTACCTTCTCTATGCCAGATGTGGTTCTGGGTTAAGAGGATTTGGCAATGAGGAGACACAGCTGCATCTTAGACTGGCAACCCCAGAACTTTAATGCGCTGGAGGAATAGAGAACAGAAATGCCAGCACTCTGCAAAATCTTCCATTACTGGGATTCTCTAGTGCTGTGGGATGGTCTGTATGTCAAATGTGTTGCTGATTGGTCAATGAATAAATCACTGATTGGCAGTGGCCAGGCAGGAAGTATAGGCGGGACTAACAGAGAGGAAAATTGAGAGAACAGGAAGCTGGGGAGGGAGACACTGCCAGCCGCCATCAGGACAAGGAAGATGTAAAGTGCCGGTAAGCCACAAGCCACGTGGCAAGGTATAGATTAATAGAAATGGATTAATTTAAGCTGTAAGAACAGTTAGCAAGAAGCCTGCCACGGCCATACAGTTTGAAACCAATATAAGTCTCTGTGTTTATTTGATCGGGTTTAAGCGGCTTGGGACTGGCGGGTGAGAGAGATTTGTCCTGACTGTGGGCCAGGCAGGAAAACTCTAGCAACACTCTAGGGTGTGTGTGGGGCTGAGGGGGGGGGGGGGAGTCTGGGGAGACTGATTCCACGGGCCTACACTTTGGGGCTCTGTCCATCTGAGGGCAGTGTCAGGGGAAGAGTCTCTCCCACACAGGTTTTGGAGGTCCTGCCAGTGGAGGTCCTGAACACCAAACCATATTCCTCCGAGCCTCTGGCCTCTGAGCTCTCTGCAGGCATGGCCTGAGAGCCAGCTTTGCTGAGCACCTGCTGGGAGCAGCTCCAGACGCTTCAGCCAGCTATTAATGGACCCGAACTCCCATCCACAGAGCTCCTTCTGAAGACAGGACAAGAGCCTTGGGTGGATGGAGAGCCAGAGCTGGGAAGTGCACCTCAGGATTTGGACCCAGGTGGTCGGAGTAGCCGAGGGGCCTTTCTCAACAAGGACCTGCTCCAAGATCTGCATGGTGGCCAAGGGCCCAACTTGGACACCTGAGCATTTCTTCCAAGTCCCGATTCTATTTAGAAGCTGGCTTGGGACAAGGGCAGGGCCTGCGGCCACTCTTAACATGACCTTCGATCTCCACAGTCTTCCTGGCCCCTGCTCAAGGTAGGGCTCGGTTTCTCTCTGGCTTCTACTAGGATTACTTAATGGATAAAAAATAACTAAGTCCGGGGCTCAAGTGTCAGCCATGGGAACAGCTGAGGCTAGTGGCTGGCCTTTTATGCCTTGCAGCTCCATGGGGAGCTTGTCCCTCCCTTTGGTGGTAGCAGCTGGGGTAGAGCTGATGGAGGGGGCAGGGCTAAAAAGAGTTCTGCACATGGAAGTCTCGGGCATAAATGAGGCCACACCTGAGCAAATCAGTATGACTGAGAAAAACCAAAGTCCCTTCTTTTAAACATGGCCTTGTAAGTCCCACCACAATCCCTGGTACCCAGTGGGAAACAGAGATACATCTGGGCGTACATATGGTCTCATCTCTTCCTATTTCTTCCTCCTGCAGTGCAGAGATATAATCTGCTTCTCTTAAGAGGTGAGAGCATGCCATCCTGATCATGGAAGCCCGTGCCACACAGGCTGGGCTTGAGACAGATGCCTACAAAACATGAGTAAGGCAAGTCATGTCAGCTAGCTTCCCACCCCTCCCCCACCTCAATGTATACATTGTCTGTCCATCCATCCAACTCCACCCACTCACCTACCCATCCATCCACTATCCAACTATGCACCCACTTACCCGTCCATCATCCATCCACCTACTCATCCATCTACCCACCTATCCATTCACATCTGTCCATCCATCTTCCCATTCAGATGGGAGTCTGTCTACTCATCTGTCTCTCCATCTATCTACCTACCTATTCATCCACCCATTCACCCATACGTCTACCCACACTTCCATCCATCCACTCACCCACTCATCCACCTTCATATATTCATTCATCTGTTTACTCAAACATCCTCCCGCCAACCTACCCATAATCCATCCATCCATCCATCCATCCATCCATCCATCCATCCACCCATCCATCCACTCACCCATCCAAGCTTATCCAACCATCTATTCACCCATCTCATCCATCTACCTGTCCATCTATTCATCATGTATCTATGACTCCACTCCAACCATTATTCATCTATCCTCCACTCCCGTATCCACTTAACAATTTCTCCATTTTTCCTATTTATTGCAGGGTGGGTGACTGGAGGTCTCTTATGGGTAAGTCCAGCATTTGGCTCAGTCCCAGTATCTCCTGCTGTCATCTTTCAACATGCTTTCGACACCAACAAAGCGATTCTGTAGGAACACCAGCTGGGGTTCCCCTTCTCCACTTCTGTGCTGACACTGTCTAGTTGGAGGTTGTATCAGATCCCACAGGATGAGGTTTGGGCCTCCCAAGACTGTTCCCACTTCAGACATCAGTGGCAAATCTTGGTCTGTCTTGCTTAAGCAGGGTTCTCATGGCATTTGCTGGAATGTCTCACAGCACTTAGGCAATGTGTTCGCTGGGGTATAACAAGGGCATTATAAAGGATACCAACAGAAAGGTGCGCAAGTGAGTCTGGGGGAAAGGTTATACCTTCCAGGCCTTCCAGATTTGCTTAACTGTCCAGATGCTCCATGAGTCCCTTTCAGGTTTTGCGGAGGCTTTATTGAATGGACAGGACTAGTTCCATCACTGGCCACTCACAATCAGCCTTTAGCTGCTCTCTCCCCTCTGGATCCCAGAACTCCAACCTTCCTTGCTTCTGGTGAACAGTCACCTGGCACTCTCAGCCAACAGTTCATTAGCATACAAAATGCATCACTTTAGGTACAGGGTTCAGTAGTCATAAGGTTGGTGCCTTGAAGTACATGGCAGTCACAGGGGACTCCCAACTAGTCCCTTGCAGAAGTGTCTGGGATTGCCTCAGAGAGACCTACTACCAAGATTTTGTGGGTGTCACTAAACTAAGAGCCCTGGACAAAAGTTTTTGATCAAAGTGACCCCTTGGAGGCAGGGATAGATCCCCCAATCCCATCCACATGGCTGTTTCCATACATGTGGGCCCTGCTGATGAGAATTTTCATAGTCCAAAGTTAGAACTCTCAAACAGATCTAGCAATAAACGTGGCTGCCATGAAGCAAGGCCCCACTCTGGCCTCTAACTGCAGGATCACTCACAGAGAAACAGGGTTGTAGCAACTAGACCCAAGGGGCTAGGAACGCTGAGGGAGTTCTTTCTCCAACTCATGGTTCCATCCTAGTGTTGGAAATGAAATCCAGGGCCTTACATATGCTAGGCAGACCCTCTACTTCTGAGCTTCACTCCCACCCAGCACCTCACTGGGGGATTCTAGGCAGGTGCTCTACCACTGAGCCACAACGCAGCCCCTCACTGGGGGATTCTAGGCTGGGCTCTACCACTAAGCAACACCCCCAGCCCTAGAAGGAGCTCGGAAGAAGCTCTTGGATCCACACTTACTGCAAACCCCTGTGTTCTGGTCCCTTGTGGCAGTTTGGCCAGCTCTAGCCTCTAGCTGTCTCCATTGGTTAGAGGCTAGCCACAGAAAGGAACTCTCAGCAAGCCTTTGTCTGGCTGTGACCTCAGAAAGGGCATGGACTGGAACTGTTCAGCAACATGCACCTGGCTGGGCATCTCTGATCCTGACCAGGGCACCTTTGCCAACAGCCGGCCCCACGTGGAGCCCCCTCCACCCTTACCCTCTGTGTGGCGGAAGCAGCTGCAGCCAGGCTGCCTTTGGAATGGATCTGGTGACATTGATGGATGGCCAGGGCCTCAGGGCTGCTGCTGGGTGAGGGTGAGCCTGCTCCGCCAGGGTGGGGACTGCTCTGCTGAGTTGGCATTTCCGTGGTTGTTTTTGTGAGTGACCTGTGTTCCTCGGCTTCACATTGGGGCCTGCTGAGAATGAAAGCTTGCTGGTGATGGCCTGCCTGCCAAGAGTCAGACTGCCCAGCATCAATCAGGCAGGCACATGAGCGGTGGGGTCAGGCCAGGCAGCTGGAAAAGAAGACCCTAATTCCCGCTCTTGGGACTTGCCACCTGCCCTTTGGGCCACCTGCTTCTTGAACTTGACTCTCCCTAAGGGGTTGGTTGTACTCCACCTGTCAGAGTCACTCAGCCCAGCTGGGTGCCTGCCTGAGACTTGTCCTCTTCAGCCCCCTGGAGATGAGGATTTGGTCTCAGGGCTGAGAGCATCAGAGCACACAGCCTGTGAGCACAAAACTTGCTAGGGTATGATGGTGCATACCTGTGACCTCAGCACTGGAGAGGCTGAGGCAGGAGGATGGCCTCAAGTTCAAGGTTACATATGAGACCTCTTAAAAAAAAAACAAAACCAACCAACCAAACAAACAAACAAAAAAACCCAAAAAACAACAGACCAAAACAATTGCTAGTGTCTGCATTGAACATGTGGACAGGTACAGGTGAAATTCTCTTTCGACAATGTATGTTACTCAGAATCCAGGCAACTGTCAAAGAAGCCAGCTTCATTCTGTAATCGTTGGTTGAAGTACTCTGGGTATGCCTACGTGTGTGTGTGTGTGTGTGTGTGTGTGTGTGTGTGTGTGTGTACTTGCATGCATGTGCAGCATGTGTCCATATATGCGTGTGTACTTGTGCATGCGTGTGTGCATGTGTGTGTGCATATGTGATATGTGTGTATATATAATTTGCATGCATGTGATGTATGTGTGCACATGTGGTTTTATGTGTGTATACTTGCGTGTGCCTGCACATGTGTGGGTGTGTGAGTACAGTTTCTACTGCTTCTCCTTTTATCAGGACAGGCTTTGGGATCTTGGCAGGACTGGGCTAGTTCGGGAACCACAGCTGTGGCCTTCTGTGACCCAGCACCTCTGGAAGGTTGGATGTGATATCTGCTGGGGACATGTGATGAGACCCAGGGCTGGAGATAGAGAGAGGAGTGGGAGGGGGGTGGAGAAAAGGAGAGAGAGGGGGAGTAGGGCGGAGTATTCAGAACACAGCATGTAGGTGCTGGCTCCAGCTGGTTTATGCCTACTCACCTGGATCCTGTAGGTCTGCCAGGTGGATCTGATTGCTTTGTATCCTGTTCTCTGGGTCTGGCAAGTCAGAACCTCTGGGCTGCAGCTGAGCCATGCTCCTGTCCCCCTGAAGGCTAGGTTCCAGAACAGAGGACAATTCCCTAAAGTGTCCACCCTCCAGGTCACAGGAGCCTCTGTGGACGGCTCCCCACTGACAAACATGAACTTGAAACCAAGGCGTGGGGTGGGGGGGGGCGACGACCAGTTGCCCAAACACAGGTACTGAGCATGAGAGGGTGCACAGCCTCAGCCACACTCTATCTCTTTGCCCTTCTAGCCATCGGGGCCTCTGACACAATGGACGGGCCCAGCCACGTGGCCCCTGTTACCTCATCTGTTGGCAGTGGTGATCTGGCTGTGGCTCTGGGGTGTTGGGGTGGGGGGAGCTCCTGGGTGCTCCCGGGTGCTGGCATGCTGGTCCTCTCTAACAAGCAGGCCTCCGCAACCCTTTCATCTGATGCTCACATCTTTTACAAACACTGACTCATTAGGCTCCCGAAGCAGGCGGAGGGAGCAGGGTCCCTTCTGTGGGAGGGAGACTGAGCCTCCTCATTGTTCTAGCTTTCCCCGGGGCCACCCACCGAGCCACAGTGAGATCCTAGGTAGGAATGCAGCTCAAGGGAGCCAGGCAAAGGCCCCTGTTGGAGAGGTGAGGGGCCTCTAAGCTGTCAGGGGCCTGGCAAGCCGCTCCACTCAGGGTTATATCTGTGCTGGTTGCCTGCCCGATGTCATTTCTCTCCCATGCACAACTAAATTCAGCCACTGGCTTCGTACAAGTCCTCCGTGTACTTTCAATTCTCCCTTTTTATTGTCAAGGAAACAGTCAGAGAATTGAGCTCCTTTGAGGGGTCAGCACCAGGCCTATCTCCCCTGCCCCGGGCCACAACTTTCTATTTACTTTTGCCTTAGCAAGTCACTGGGAGGGGGCATTTTGTTTATGGATTCGCAGAGCTGAAGGGTGAGGGGGTGTCCTCAGGATCCACAGTGAAAAGATGGGAGCAGAGAGGAAGCCGTTTCTAATCGCTCGATCTTCAAGTTCCTTCCTCTCTCTAGCCATCTCAACTAAACTGTAATCAAACTTTTGTTGAGGTTTAGAAAGGGTTTAAGCAGAAACTCTAGGGGCTGGGGATAGCCGGGTCTGCTAATTCGTGCCTTGGGATCTCCTGAGAATCCGATAGGGAGACGAAGCAGCGCCTGGGTACAAGCCCATTCCCGTCTGCCCACCTGGGCCTCTTTGAACACCCGGACATTACCGGGGCGCCCATTGTGTGCCTGTCAGTCAGGTCCCTTTGTGGGATTACTTTCATTTAGAAGGCCTTGCCTGCTATTCTGGTAGCTCGTCAGTCCTGACTTAAGGTGAAAGCTTGTCTTCTGCTTGACAGTGAGGGAGGTGAAAATTACTGTGTGCATAGAAAACTGCAGGTTACCCAAATAACATGTCACCGGAGAGCAGGCCCGAACCTCAAGTCAATTCACAAAGCTGTGCGCCTGTTGTGCGCCCCAGGCTGGCCGAGTGGGACTCGCACTGCACCGTACCCCTCCCC